CATTCTATTTGATAATTAGGGGTATTTTATTCCATTTTAATTGCATGAAGAATAATTTTAGGGTCAAATATCTTTATTCTTTTTATTTTAACCTTAAGATTAGATTGATTTTTGTTTGACATTATAAATTACCATTATTTATCAATTATATGTCATGTTCCATGAATGGTTGAAAATTAAAAATGTGCAATATAAGACATTTATTGAATTATTGGTCATTTACTTTTGTTCTTGGCTACATGGAAGGTGCATTTGAGAACCAAAACCTAAAGCAATTGGGTCTCAAATTGGTATTCAGTGCTTCTTAATCCCAGCTATTGGTTTTTCATTCCATTGAAGCCATAAGTGACTTATCCAAAGTTAAGATCGTTTATTGGATTTAATTAAAGTGATCAAGGGAACTACACGTGTGTGTATTTATTATTAATTGGTTGAATCCAAAGATTTAAGTGATTAATAGTCAAGTATATACATGCGTAGTTTGTCTTGTTGTATGATTAAATTCACTTGGTTATTATGGAATCATTCTTAAACCCAAAGGAGAGAGAGGGTAAGACCATATATAACTTGGTCATTTGATAATCATGCTTGATTACTTAGATGCATGATCTGTAATTTATTTATTTTGCTCCCAATGTATAAATTAAAATTGGTACTTATATTTTCATGGCAACCCTAAACACTAAAAACCTTTCTACTCAGTTTCAATCATTCTCTATTGAACTTTTGACTACAACCAATTAAAAGAGATGGATAAGTCGGGTTGACACAGTCTTAGGGGCCTATGGATATGACAATTTGCCTCACATAACTCAAACCTTTACAACCTCTACAAATGTGACTAGTCAAGCTCACAATAGATATAACAATTGACAACATGCCAATAAAATGGCTCTTCTCATCATTTAAAGTCAAATTTTTCAGCCATTGAAACTTAGCATTCCCATATTTGATATTGCTAGGAAAATTCTTGACATTATCAAAAGTCAGTTTCTAGGATCCACAAAGGCTATGATTATGAGGTTTCTTTCCAGCTCTTTGCTACAAAATTTGAACAACCTAGGAGTATTAGAGAGTTTATCAATAAGGTGTCAAGGATTGTTTATCAACTTCAACATTCGAAGTTGAACCTGGATGATGATTTCCTTGTTTATGTTGTGTTATCATCTTTGCCCAAGACTTTTAAAACTTTTGTGGTTAATTACAACACTAGTTTTCACAAATAGAGTGTGAATGAGCTAAAAAATCAATGTTCCTAGAAGAGGTAAGATAGAAGAAGGGCAGAAGTAAATCTACATATGTTGCAACTTCGAGACTGAGGAAATAGTTTAAGAAGAATGGAAAAAAAATAGAAATATAACCCCCAAAGAGAAAATTTCCACTAAGGCTGAGTAGAGGAAGGCAGAAGGAATACTTGTAATTATTGCAAGAAACTAGGACATTGCAAATCTAATTGTTGGAAGTTGAAGGAAAAGGAAAACAAGCAAGGTAACTTTTTAGTCTTAGTGTGTTTAGAATTAAATATTGTGGATATACTCTCAAATACATGGTGGGTTGATTCTAGGTGTATTGTTCACATTTCCAATGCCTTACAGGGATTTTTGATCGTAAGGAAAGTTGATTTAGAGAGCATTTACATCTATATGGGGAATGCAAAGTGTGTTGGAGTACTAGAAAATTTGGAGTCACATTAGATCTTATTGACACTTATTATGTTCCATCTATTAGAAAAAACTTAATTTTAGTTTCAAAGTTAGATGCTTGTAGGTATTCACTTTATTTTTCTTGAGGAACTCTTGCTATTAGTTATGATTTGAACAAAATTGGTTCTGCAACTTGTTTAGATGGGCTTTATAAACTGAATCTTGATCAATCATATGAAAAATCTTTATTACCTATGAATGTTGAATCTTGTCATGTTGATAATTTGTCACTTAAAAGAAAAGAGATGAAATCCTCATCCATGCTTTTGCATTAAAGGTTAGGACACATATCCAAAGACCATCTTAATAAACTGGTCAAATAGGATTCTTTTAGGTGTAAATTTTGATGATCTTGGTAATTTTTTCAATTGCTTTAAGGGAAAAATGACTATAAAACCCTTTTTCCAATATTGGTAGGTGTTTCTAGCTCCTCTAGATTATTCACAATGACATTTGTAGTCTCTTTAAAGTCCTTGCTTGAAATGAACATAGATATTATATTACATTCATTGACGATTATTCTATATTTGGTTATCTTTATCTAATTGAGAATAAATCAGATGCCTTACAAACATTCAAAGCTTACAAGGCTAAGGTGGAAAATCAGCTAGATAAAAAAAAAATCAAAATTGCAAGGTTTGGTAGAGGTGGTGAGTTTGAAACATTTTATACTTTTCTCCAAGAGTCATCAAACTTTTATAGTCTATACACATAACTCTTTCATTATCGAATCTAAGGATGTAAAGTTTCTTATCCTTCTTCTTGCATTGCCCTCATGTTACCAGTATTTGGATGCACTTTTTTTAGCTATTTTGTAGAGTTTGAGTGATCCCTAGGGATTTAGCAAAGCTAATCTCAATTTGGTCTACCTTGGAGCTAAGCAGGAAGGGTAACATCCTCTGGAAATTGTATCCTTTTTGTTGGTCTATTTGGATGGAGAGGTAATGGTAGAATATTTGATAGGGAAATAAATCTAAGAGACAAAATCATAGCAATGATGAGAGACTCCTTATTCAATGGCCTTTTATTCTAAAAGGAATTGAGGAGCACATCCTACATTCAAGCTACAGACAATTGGGTGCAAATTGTATTCAACCTAAGCTATGCTAGTTGATTGTCTTATCCCTTTGTATTTATCTCTCTATAGAATATAGTTCCTTGTACAGTTTTGAGGAAACCTCTTCCTCCTTTATTTTATATAAATTCAAATACCATTTACCATTTATAAAAAAAAGGGGGTCATTACCTGATGTTCTTTAGGGAAAGAGGTAGGATTTCCTTAATAGCTTTCCATGGGTACATCAATGTTACATTTGAAGCAAATCCCCAATTCCAACTCCCCAGCATATGTACTGATATTTCCTTTTTTTATGAATTGTGTTATTTTGTGTCGAACAATGGCTATTAGTTGATATTGAACTTTCCCTCTATCAAGTTGGTTTTGTTGAATTCATTTTTGGCCATTTTGTCAATATTGTCTCGTACGTATGTACCTTGGTTCCTTAAGCTAATGATAAGTCTATCGTCGCAGGTGCAGTTTCTATTAAATGACAGAGCTATTGGAAAATGATTCCAGTCTTATATTCTGTTATGTTGAAGTGCGTACATCTTATCATGATTTTGACTGGTCTTATTTGTGCAGACAATGAACTTTATCAATTGGCTTCAGTTGCCTTTTTTTTACTTGTTGCTTGGGTTTGTCTCTCTTCTCAGGACTTGGACTTATCTGCATTTCTTGTGATAGTTTTGATGTTCTTTGATGTGGACTCCCATGGTGTTTGTAGCAAAATGAGCTCTAAGAATTTGAGAGGAAACAAATCTAGAGGCGGAAGAGGCAAAGGAACGGCCTCCCGAGTTCCCAATCAACTAGATGATTCAGGTCACTGGTCTTGTGACCATTGCACATATGCCAATGATAAGTTTGCAAACACTTGCCAAATATAGAGCACAGTTAGAGCTGTTCAGGATGCGGAATCAACCTTTCATGAGCTATTTATCATTTTCAATGAATTAGCTGCCGTGGTTATATAGTGGAAGGCACAACTCCAAATATGTGGATGGAGGCATTGGATCAAATTTTGTGTTAATTGTATTATGCATTAGATCAAAGTTTTTGTTAATTGTATTATTTATAAGATATGAATTTGGAAATTGTAATATATTTTTGACATAGTTGCATATGAATTATAGTTGGAATGCAATTTTTATCTTTTATAATATCAATGGGCTCACATATTGACATTTTACATGCATATTTTATTTAGATGATTGACAATAATTATTATAATATTTGCAACAATTTATTAAATTAAATATCAACAATTAAAATGATAATTAGCAATAGTTAAGTTAACAATTGCTTTATTATTGCTACTTTAACAATAGTTTGGAAAAACTGATGCCATAAATAAACATAAAAAACAATTGTTCAGTTGTTACCAAATTATGTGATTGTTGTATATGAAACTTTGGGGCAACAATTGCTTGATTGTTGCCTATTCAACAAAAGGGTTGTTGCCTAACATGTTAATTAGAGACAAATTTAAGCAGTTGTTGCTAAAAATTTATATGGACAACGATTTTTATTAATTGTTGCTAAAACAAAATATTCGGCAACAATTCCATTTGGTCGTGGTAAAACACTATTGCCGCAACAGTTGGTCCAACTGTTGTGAATAGTATATTTTGCAAAAATTGATTGTTAAAAACTTTTAACAACGGCTTCGCTAGCCACAACTTGTTCAGTTGTAACTAAAACATTACGTTAACAGTTTTTTCTATATTCGGAACAATTTTTGACTGTTGCTAAAGGTTAATTTTCTTGTGGTTTTGAACTGTATTGTTATTAGTGTTGCTATTGTTAATGAAAATCAAGTTTAAACATGTTATTATTGTGACTTCTAATCAATAATATATTGATAGTAAACATTATCAATCATACAATATGTGGTTATGACTATGTAATTAGTCACAATTATAAGTCTTAAAGTTAAAAAAGTATTAAGCTAAACTCAACAACATACATAGCTATTTAATTTGATTGTTAATGTTATGGAATTCTTTTGTTTTCTTTAAGAAACAGGTTTCATGGGTAGACCCTAGAATCACGAAGGCAAGAACCGACCTTGGAACAACTAATCTTGACAGGATAGGTTCTAGTTCTAAAAATCTAAAACCAACCCCCACAGGGTAGGTTCTTGAAGGTTCTGCCTTGGAACCGAACCAAACTAGTCCATGCTCAAGAGAGAAACTTGGGATTCAATTATGTATTTAACATGAGAGAGGAGTGTATAGGGATTTTAGCACCAAAAGACATACAACTTTTTTATTCATATATAGGAAACTGAATAGATAGGGGAGGAGTTCTCAGTACAACTTTTCTTTACACTCCTAGCTAGGAAAGTTGGTACATAATTAGGAAAAATAAAAAATAAGAAAAAAAGAAAATCTATAGGGGGTAAGGGAGAGAGACGATCGGCTTCAATGCTCACAAGATTGATCCTCATAAAAATGAAGGGATGCTGACATGGACAAGAGCACTTAGATGAATCATATATAGAAATGAAGGGATTGATTCTCACAAAAATAAGCTCTAAGACATATTGGTATTGGAGCATTCTGGAGGAAGGCCTTGAGGGAAGCGCTTTATATCTGTGCAGTAATTGTAGATCATATAGTTCTTCTGGACCCATCTCATTCTCTCTTGGCTCTTGGAGTCCAGCTCTTCTGAGAGCCACCAGGCGTTGGTGTTGGAGGTAGAAGAGGGAGATTTTGAGTCACAAGAAGAGGTACTGGAGGACCAAATACAGGCATCAGCCTTGAAGTTTCTGTAGGAGGCCGTGAAAGGTGCTTGTGTCCAGTCGGTCTTCACAAGGCCACCCCTTGTGGCCCAGTCATCTGCGTTCCAGAGGCTGGAGTAAATCCTCATGGGTTGGCTCTTGGGGAATGGAACACCAATGGATTCTGAGTTTTTGAACTCTCTGATTGGCGTTCCATCAACAGAGAAGACAATGTTTTGGGGATTCCACAAGATAGAGTAAGTATGAAAATCAGCAGTTGGGTCGAACCAAAGGTAGAACTGCTGCTCTCTGTTACCTTTGCCTTGGCTGAAGACGTTAGTATGGAGGATGTAGGGGTCACCACTGAGATTGCCAAGGAATTCGAAGTCGATCTCATCATGGGTTGGTCCCTGAGATGACAAGTAGTAGGCAGTAATGGTGCCAGCAGAGTTTCCAGGGACGAGCTTGAGCTGCATATCAATCTTCCCGAACAGATACTCATTCTTGGACTGAAAACCAGAACCAGAGGCTTTGTCTAGGGAGAGAGTGAGAAGTTGTCCATTGTTCAGTATCTTTGCTCGACCGCCGCCCCATGTGACATCAAAATCTTGGAAGAAATTATTAGCCAAAGAAGGAATGGCTATCAAAGAGTAGCTGATGATAAAAACAAGTAGGCAAGACAGAAAATTGATCCAATTGCAAGGTCTATTACAAACCATATTTGAAGGAATTGTAAGGTATTGTCGACTGAAGAGATTTGATGGATTAACAGGACTACAGGAGAGAGTGGAATTGGTTTATCTGTGAGTGAAGAGAAACTGGTTGATGGCCGCCCTTTATATAGCTGGTGTTGATCAGTACTGGTTGAATTAAACCAGAAGGACAAAGGCTGGTGGAGGAGGGTTAATTAATTGGTCCACTTTCTCAAGTAATAAGACTATGAGTTAGACTCGGCCAATGTTGTCTGGAACAACAGGTGATGGATGATATTACTAAAAATAATGAAGAAAGTGAAGTGTGACGCGTTTTAGTGTTGATGAAGGTATACTCAACTCGAGCAATTCTGTCTCCTTTGGCCGCTTCTCTCCAGGCTCCAGCTGCCAGCCCATATGCAGCTAGCTCAAGCTGCTCCATCTCCATTCTCCACTCCTTTAATTGCATCAAGAGGCGCCCACACGAAATTGTCTCCTGTTTCAATTTGCTGTTTGAGGAGGGTTTGTGGCTCTCTGCGTCTCTTTCTTTACAAAAAGTAGAGCAATGTTGCTGACCAAGCAAAATCATTTCTTCTATTAAGTTATCATATATAAAAAAAAAGGGAACAACATAAGCTACAGTTGAAATGTTGTTTCTCCTAACGCCATGTCCCCACACGTAAAATCAACGCTGGTGGGGAAGCAAAATCTTTGATGCAATAATTGTGATGTATAAAAGTAAGTCAGAAACATATGATTATATAAGATGGTGATTCATGATTGGTGATGGGATTTGTTTCAGGTGGAGAGCTTGGGCCTGAAGTTGCCTCCCGTGTGGAACCCACCATTAATTTTATTTATTTCAGGTGGAGAGCACAAGTGCACAACCTTTTGGTTGGCACACGGGTGAAACCCACACTGATATTGTATTTGTACGTGATGAGTTGCAAGTAAGCATCCAACTCCTCTAAAAAACCAAGTGAAAATCGATTTTTATCAAGGCTCTTTTGATTATAATGATATATATATCGCAGAATGGTGGAAAACAATTTCCATGAAAATATCATTTTCTGGACTTTAGTGGCATGGAAAATCCTATTAGAAGCAAAGATTTTCAAAAGGTGAGTAATTGTTGTGGAAAAGTGTCATTAATTCCAATATGTTATGCCAATCGTATTCTAAACAGGACTTAATTAATCTTCATGATTAATTCATTTTTCAGTTGAACTACCAAGCAGGAAAATTAGGGAAAACAATTTGTTTTCCAATTAAATATCTTTTTTGTGACTAGTATTTTGCACTTATATATTTTTGAAGAGTAAAGGCATTAATTGTCCAAGTAAAAGAAAAAGAAGTTTTGATGGCATACATACATACATAGAGAAAAAATTGGTTCCATGGTATATAACTATTTATAGATTATTACCCTTTACTTTGGGAGTAGTGACAATTACCCCACTGAACTTTCAGATTCCAACAAAGACCATCCTCTATTAGTATTTCGTCAGTTGACTTTGAAAAGGATTTTTATGTGATTGTTTAAATTTTCCTATATTACCAAATTACCCTTTTCCAATTATTTTGTTTTAGTGTATTTTTTATTTCCATTTTTTACTGGTTTAGTTTATATTAAGTGCATGTCATGTTTATTGCAGTTTTAGGTTTTCATAGAGGTTTCTTGGTTTTTAATTGCACTTTCTATTTTATGCAAGTTTTCTAGTCACTAATATTTTTTATGCAATTTTTTGTATATCATTTAAATTAGAATTTATTTATATATAGAAGAAAATCATTTTTGATCTTTTTCTGAAAGGTCAACTTGTAATCTATGTTCTGCAAATAGAAATTATATAGGATAAACAAAAGAGTGATAAAACCCATCTTTCCTATAGGGCATTTAGCTCAAGTAAAATGCTATTGGTGTAAATTGAAGATGATCTAGAATTCTTTTGATTTTTGGCAATCATATACTAACATGAAATGATGGGAGAAGTAATTGATAATATACAATTGAGGGTAGTTGATATTTAAATTAAGGATTCATTATATATGTATATTATGGGTAATTATGTTGTTATGCATATGTCATGAATTTAGGAAATATGGGTAGGTAGTTGCCATTGCTGGAACGATGTGGATTATACAAGTGGCTTCCAGAAAATCTACAACAGGGTATGTGTTCACTCTATTAGATGATAATGCTTTAAATTACTCTAGATCGATTAATCATTATATAAGGGGGCTCCAGATATATCCGTAATGTTTTTAGTGGTTTCATTTTTTTTTTTTTTTTTTGAAATCAGTCCCCACAAGATAGTTTTCCACAACGTCTGACAGCATATCTCTGCCATGTATTGGAAATATCTTTCGATG